AAAACAGCAGCTCTGGTGGCTGGCTCTGCCCCATTTTTTGGTTCCCAGAGAGGCTAGTCTTATGGCAGAGGTATGTTGACCACTAGCTCTGGGAGCCATGTTTAGCCAAGGGAAGTTTCTGAGACCCTGCTGCCACTAAGTAATGTGCCACCAGCTGCTCATAAAACTCCATTTAAGTATTTGTTAGCAGGACCTCTCAAAAGAGTTGCTCGGTTTTTGCCACTAACTGTTGTTGGTTGTTTTTGCTCTTTTGGTCTTTTTGGGGGTCCCCAACCTCAGCTTAGCTTAGTTTCCAGCCAGGTTCCTTATCTTAAATTAACCTGTCTATCTTTTGCCTCTGGGTTTTTCCCGTTCTCTTACTTCTGTAAATCTTACTCTTACTCTGTGGCTTGCTGTGTAGCTGGTGGCTGGACCCTGGAATCCTCCTCCTTCTCTGGCTACTTCTTCCTTCTCACCTCCCTTTCATTTCTTCTTCTCCCTCCCAGATTTTTCCTTCTATATATTCTCTCTGTCTGCCAGCCCAGCCTATCTCTCTCTCCTGCCTTCCTATTGACCATTCAGTTCTTTAGTAGACTAGTTAGGTGTTTTAGACAGGCACAGTAACACAGCTTCACAGAGTTAAATAAATAGTAACATAAACAAAAGTAACACACCTTAAAATAATATTCTACTACAACTAGTGCTGAGTCAGGAAGCCATCTCTTAAAGGAACAGCGCCTCTGCTCGCCACCAACAAACAGTGCCCACTAGAGAAAAAGCAGTTACTGAGAAGCCAAGTTTGACTCCAATTTTGTGTGTTTAGAATCCTTTTTTAAGTTTTGTTGGGTCTTATGTGGAAATTCCAGCCCCAGGTTGGGTGCCATATGTAATTGGACATTTCTCTCCAGCCCTCCTGCTCCCAAATACCTGGCAGCCGCTTCCCAAATAATTGACTCAGAGGCTTAATATAAAAATTATAAATGCTTGGCCAATAGTTCTGGCTTATTATTAACTAGTTCTTACTGGCTAACTCTTACACTGGTCCGTGAGTTTCCAGACATTCATTTGTCTCTCCTTCCTATCTGGCTATACCAGCACTGTGATTACAAATGTGGGCTACCATGCGAGACTTTATGTGGGTCCTGAAGATCTCAATGCTGGCCCTCACATGGCACAGGCAAGAGCTTTAACCATTGAACCATCTCCCCAAGCCCTTTTTAGAGAATCCATTTGTTCTTATTGATTCCTACCACTCTCTCTCTAGCAGAAGAACAAGAAATGATGGTCGTGCTCATAGCTATTAACACAATACTTGCCAGTTAGTGCTTAAACTGTTTCACTGGAGTATTAACCAAACCCTATTACTGGCATTTATAAAGTCTCTCATGTATCAAAAGACATTTTGGTACCTTACATCCTCAATTATACCACATACTATATAGTATACCTTGACCCTTTAAGAATGGACATATTTAGCCAGGTGGTGGTGCACACCTTTAATCCCAGCACTAGGGAGGCGCAGGCAAGTGGATCTCTGTGAGTTCAAGGCCAGGCTGGCTACAGAGTAAGTTTCAGGAGAGCCAGGACTACACAGAGAAATCCTGTCTCGAGAAACCAAAACCAAAACAAAGAATGGACACATTTAGACACCTCTCCCATTTTAGTAGTTGAATAATAATACCCTTGTGGATGTTGTTAGGGTTGTTACACCTACCCCTTCTGAGGGTCACTCCCCTAACAAGCTGTTGCCATTGGCAGGAACATGTGACATGTTCAGCTGCTATAAACCCTTCTCTCTGTTCACAATGTCACAGACGTTAGCCCCAAATCCCCCTAGAATTTTGTTAACAAGTTTCAGCTTTATTCATCTTTTTTTTTTTTTTTTTTTTTTTGGTTTTTCGAGACAGGGTTTCTCGGTGTAGCTTTGCGCCTTTCCTGGGACTCACTTGGTAGCCCAGGTTGGCCTTGAACTCACAGAGATCCGCCTGCCTCTGCCTCCCGAGTGCTGGGATTAAAGGCGTGCGCAACCACCGCCTGGCCTATTCATCTTTCTTTTTTGTTGTTTATGGCTGCTTTTTCCCCCAGTGGAGTGACTTCCAGAGTCAGATATTAAAAAACACCTGGGTAGATTTTCTGTATAAGTGGGGAGAGCCTTTTAAAAAAATGCTGCTCCTCTTATAGGAAGTTGGGAAGAGAGATTTGGATATGGCACAGTCTCCTTTCATACTATAGTGGATTCAAGGACAACCTGGGCTACATAATACCAATTTTTCCCCATTGTGCTAGAAAGTACTTGTAGTCCCACACCCAAGCCCATCTTCCAGCATGATTTGGAGTTTATATTGGGAGAAGAGGAACAAGACAGTTATTACAGGGAACTTTCCCATGGTAAGAGTGACTCTGTGTAAGATACTTTAACATATGCATCATGTATTTAGTTCATCTCCCAAAACTTGTACCCTTATTTTATATGAGACAGAGAAAAACATCGGATACTTTAGGTTGTCTTGATCTCGAACAATTTGTACAGTAGGAGTTCAGAGGACAACTTGAGGGTTGGTTCTCTCCTTCCACTGTGTGGATCCCAGGGATGGATCTCAGGTGGATCTCAGGTGGTTCGTATTGGCAGCATGTATTGGGATAGGAAAGAATCTGTTTCCTATTTCTTAGGAAATTATTTCCTTAAGAAAGAACCAAAGCCAAGTTTTGTAAGTTTGGAGTCAGTGACCTGGAGTAGGATTTCTAACTGCCACTTACCCATTGTATGTCCTTAGGCAAGTCCACTCATTTCCTAGACTCTTGGTTTCTTCATCTGTGAAACAACACATACTTCTACATAGGTGTGTAACAGTTAACATGAGACATCCACCTGACTGGGTTAAGGAATTCTCAGTCCATTATATCTGTGTTCACTGGTCATGCCTGGAAAAGACTGCAACGTGAATCAGTGGGCTGAGTAAACCTTAATCAGCTAACTGCAAACTTTGGCAGTCCTCTAGAGCCATGGACATCTGTCCTCTGTCCTTCAACATAAGAACTCAGAGGCTTACACAAGTTCCCACCCAAGCCCTTGCATTTTCTTGCACCTTCAGCCTAAAAGCGAGAGCTATGTCATCAGCTCTTCTGGTTCTTAGGTCTTTGGACTTGGACTGAGCTGTCACAGACTTCCATGGTTGCTAGTCTTGCTGGAAACATATTGTGGGGCTTAGCCTTGATGATAAATCCCCTTATGCATCTATGCCCTCTTGGTTCTTTCCTGGAGAACACTGCCTGATAGGGGTCTCTGGGAGGACTGACCAAGCTCACAAATGAACAGGGCTTGAACTGGTAGCTACCAGTTGGATGGGATCTCCTCTCTTCACCCACATCCCCATTTTGTTGAGCTGTGTTGCCACATTCCATATGCTCTGGTCTCTCTAAGAGGAATGCTTTCTAGGGAAGCTAGGATGGGAAGGTTGGTGTGGGCCCACATTTGCTGACATATGACTGTCAGGATGGGTCAGCTCAGACAACCTCAGTGCAGCTTGCAGGAATGAGCTAGAACCTTCCAGGCTCTTGAGTCTACAGAAGCTGCCACAGAGGGGCCAGCTCATAGGAATGTGCAGAACATACTGTGGTGGTTTGAATAAAATGACCCCCATAGGATCATAGAGAGTGGTACTATTAGGAAGTGTGGCCTTGTTGAAGGAATTGTGTCACTGGGGGGTGAGCTTTGAGGTTTCAGAAGCTCAAGCCAGGCTTAGTGGCTCACTCTTCCTTCCTGCTCTCTGCCAATCTGGATGTGGAACTCTAAGCCTCTCTCCAGCACCATGTCTACATTTATACCACCATGCTTCCCACCATGGCAATAATGGACTAAACCTCTGAAGTATAAGCCAGCTCCAATTAAATATTTTCCTTTATAAGAGCTGCCATGGTCATAGTGTCTCTTCACAGCAACAGAAACCATAACTAAGACAAAGACCTTCCCACAAGGCAGTGCAGGCCCTGGACTCAATGCAGATCCAAATACTGCCTTACTGTGAACATATGGACTATTTTCTTCATTGTAAACTTGGGATATTATGGGTACCCACTTCGATGCACCTCAATACACCAGCCTCTCTTCTCCTGGGAAGAAGTCACATGGTTCTCCTTAATGCAGTGGTTGTCAACCTTCCTAATGCTGCGACCCTTTAACACAGTTCCTCATGTTGTGGTGACCCCCAACCATAAAATTACTTCGTTGCTATTTCTTAGCTACAGTTTTGCTACTGTTATGAATCATAATGTAAATATCTGATATGCAGGATATCTGATATGTGACCCCTGTGGTCGAGTACTGCTGCCCTAACGCCTTTTATGCTCTGGTTCTATGTCCATGATCCATTCTATCCTACTTTCTCCACTATACTCTAAGGAAAGCATATATTGCTTTTAGGGCTCTAGGGAGTTGGTGCAAAAAGTGAGAGGCATTTGATACCTAGCAGCACAAAGGCGGGTTGCAACAGACCACCTGCCAGGGTCACCTCTTTTACTCTGGAGAACTCTTGTAGGGTAGGAAGTGAAGCTAGGTTCAAGAGAAGGGGGCTCTAGGGTGCGGGTCGGGCATCGGAAAAGCCCTGACTTCACAATCAGGTCGGCTCGTCCTGGCTGCCCCCCACTCTGGAATGGGGAGGCGGTAAGAATGCACTCACTGAGGCACTGTGAGCGTGCTGGGGTAGCAGGCGCTAACTGGCTGACCATCTGACTTTGGGCGCAGCCAGTGTTAGGCTGCAACCTCGGAGCTCTCTGCTCCGCAGCCGGGCCTGCGCATGCGCCCCGGGCCAGCCAGGTGAGAGCGCCGTGTAGCCCTCGCACCTGGGCTTTAACCCTTCCGGGTCACCGGCGCGGGTGGACGCCGGGTGGGAGAAGAGAAGCAGGTCGTGAACGCCCCCGGGGTCCGCACGGCGCTTCCTGGAGCTTCCAAACCGGGGTCCGTGCCCTCCTCGTTCGGGTGGGAGGGGGGTGAGCGCGGGGCGGAGCGAAGTCTCGCGAGATCTGGCGGTAGCTGCAGCGGCGGCGGCGGCGGCGGCGGCGGAGGTGGTGGCCCGGGAGGTGAGCGGCGGACGGGCAGGAGGCGGCCGTTGGGGCTGAGGAAGGGGCGAGCTCCGGAGGGCGAGGCCGGGCTCGGGGACAGGGGCGGGTGGCAGGCCCGCGTCCTCGCTGGCCCCTCGAGGCTGCCGCGGCGCCGCCCGGTGCGTGCTGTCCCGGGACTGGCGCGGGGCGGGGCGCGGCGGGGCGGTCTCGGGGCCCCCGGAGCCAGGCGTCCCTCTCCGGGGTCCCCGCGCGCCGCCGCGACCCGATCTCCTCCGGCAGCCTCGGCTTGCTTGGTGCCGGCGCTCTCCTTGCGCGCTCCCACGCTGGCACTGCAGGGAGCCGCAGCGCCCTGGCCGAAGCCGCGCTGCGGGGACGTGGTGGGATGGGGACGGCCCACGCCCCGGGCTCACCTTCCGTCCTCCTCCCCAGCCCTGCGCGCCTCTCCTCCTGCGCCCCCGAGGGGTGCAGAGGGTGCGTCTGGAAGCCCTCCCGAAATTGCACGCAGCGTCCCACGTTTCTAGGGAGAAAGTTTGTCCCCTCCCAGAAGGTTCCCTAGCCCCGAGTGTTCAGAACCGACCTTTGGCCCTGTGTGAGAGCTGGTGCCCACAGTGACGAGGGATGCGCTGGGCGTCCCAGGCCAGGCTCAAGGCTGGCCTCAGGCAAAGCAAACTTTGAAAAGTTTGATTCTTGTCTGAAGCCCGAGGTCGCACTCTTGGGATGAGTGATTGTGATGCTGGTGATCAAGGCCTCTTCCTTCTGAGGCAAACGTTGGTAAAGCCCACCTTGCCACCCTGACACGAAGTTCGTAAATAAAATACCTTTGTAGACATGACCCAAGGTCCGTAGAGTGCTCCCTCCCCTTTAGGTGTAAGGAAGAAATAAAGGAAAGAGGTGCTGTGGCGTTTGTATAGCCCAGACGCCCTGCTAGGACGCAATGACCCTGCGGCCAGTGAGTGTGTTTGGAGACAGACGTACGTATGTATGTATATATGTACACATGCATTTTTCCCAAAGTCAGGAGCAAAGATTGGGTCCTGAGAAAACCATCTTACTGTGGATAATTGATGCTAATGAAAAACAGTGTAGCTTGAATGACAGCATACAAGATAAATCACAGCCTGTCTCAGTCAACACTCAAATAATACAGCCCTCCAGGAATGCAGTACTCCATGCTACATTGTAACCTACCCTTTGCATTACAAACTCTTGAGTTATCGCCATTTAAGGGATCACACCAAATCCCTAGTGTTTATCGTTGATAATAAGGAAATAGAACATTGGAATTGTTGGGTTTGGTGTAGTGGCTCCGTTTGTACCTAGCGCTGGGGTGCAGGTGAAATGTGCTGTGTGGAAGTTCATACAGTTCCCTATTCCCTCACCATTTTGTCCTTCATATTTGGGGCAGGACGGTGGGTGTTTCCCAGAGTATCTTGCCAAATGGTTCAGTATTGAATCCTAAAGTAATGTTAATCTATAGTGAGCTCATGGGTAAGGGTAGCCTGGATTACCACCTCTACCACCCAGATGTTGTATGGGTCTAGATCCTGCATCCCAAATCCATATGCTTTCTGCTTCCGTCTAGGAGTCTCTTCAGTAATTAACAATTTGCCTTGGGGACAGTTCTGCACTCATGAGAACTACTATATAAACCACACGCTCCATTATCTAGCTAATTATAACAGAATTTAATACACACTTTTCATTGGGAATTAAAAACAAAATTCTCTCTGATGTGTCTGATATATAAAAAAGACTGGTTGGTTGGTTAATGACGTTTGATTGGTTATCTTCAAGTCTCAGGAGGCGTGTTAGTACCTGTTCATCTCAACTGTTTCTCTTCGGAGGAAGTCCTTGTTGGGAATGTTGGTCACACTTGAACTGCCTAGCAGCTTGAGGTGAGAATGGAGTTGGAAGCTTCAGCAGCCTCATGGATGGTGGTAACTGAGTGGCATTGAGTACCAATCAGTGCAGCCCCTACTTAAGTGGCCTTTTCTATTTTGATATTCTTATTAGTCAATTTGGAAAATACAGATGTGCTCAAAAGTGAAAACTGAAATTACCCATGAAAGTAGTTCTGGGGATGGCTCACAAAAAAACTGTCTTCACTGGAAAGTTCTTGCTGAAAGTTGAGCTCAGTCCATTTTGTAGCTACAGTGTAGCAAGTTTTTTCAACTTGCTTACATTTGAAAAAGAAGTTTATTTTTTAGGTATGAGTTGCTTCTTGCCATAGAATATTTATTCTGGTCACTTGTTACTTTAGAAAGGTGCTGGAAATCAATATCTAAAGACTTGTGAGAATAGGATCCATTTAAAGTTGTCTCGTCATAGATAAAGTGAATTCTTTGAGTTGAAAAGTCATCTAAATCAAAAGTAATTTTTATTGCTCCAAGCAAGCAAGCACTATCCACTTCCAGGATTTAAAAAAAAAAAAAAAAAAAAAAGCCAGTACTTTTGGTAGTTTTGTTTTTATTAATCACTACTTTAAAAAACACTCCTGTTTTAGTTAGGATTTCTATTGCTGTGGTAAACACTATGACCAAAAGCAACTTGGGAAGGAAAGGGTTTGTTTTGCTTACACTTCCACATCACAGTCCATTGTTGAAGAAAGCCAATGTGGGCACTCAGGCAGGAATCTGGAAGAGGAGCTGATGCAGAGGCCATGGAGGAGCACTGCTCACTGGCTTGCTCAACCTGCTTTCTCATAACACTCAGGACCACCTGCCCAGGGGTGGTGGCACTGTCCACAGTGGGCTGGGCCCTCCCCCCAGTCATCAGTTAAGTAGATGCAGCCCAGGCTTGCCCACAAGCCAGACTTGTTGAGGTTCCCTCTTCTCATATTACTTTTGTGTCAAGTTGACATAAGTCTGGCCAGCACAGCATACCTGTTCTTAAATGAATTAAGTATGAATTATGAATTAAGAGCGTGTCTGGATGATGAAGCTATCTCAGAGAAATAGGGACTGCACAAACATGTTCATGCATTGGTTGGTTTCTGACAACAAAAGCTGGACCCAAGGGGTGACTTGCAAACAAAGCTGCTCACTGGATCCTTCATCTAACCGGAATTCTTTACTCTGAAGATTTAAAAATCACGGTCAACTCTCAGAACCATTTTTTAAAAAAGTGTTTAGAAGAAAGCCTCTGCACGCATGAGGTTAACATGAGTTATTTTGATCTGCTGTTTTATTTGTTCTTCCGTTCTGTAAAGCTTGTTCCTCTGATAACTTTTTCTCGGATGGGTCATCCTTAGATTAATTTCAGCGATTCACAATTGCTACTGCTTGGGAAGAAATGTGTTTGAAAACACTGACTGTAGGAAGCAGGCAGTGTATGTGCAGAGCTGTCCCCTGGTGTCTCAGCCATTGGACACTGAGAGTGGCTCACAGGAAACCCAACTGCACAGCAGTGCTTGTGCAGCTTGCCCCTTCTCAGGTCTGGTGGTCCCCCACTAGCAGCTCGTCATAAGACCCTAGGGCTTGATTGTCAAGCAGACAAGTGCTGAGCTAAGCGGAGGCCCAGGGAAATGTTGGGTGGGTGTGGCAGCCCACCTGTCATATATAGGTATGCAGAGATGGCATACCTATATCAGTGAGCTCTGGGTTTGATTGAGAGAACCTGCTTCTATGAATAAGGTGAAAGAGCAACCAAGGATGATCCCTGACATCTATCTATCTCAGGCCTTCACATGCATTTACACACACACACAGACATGTGGGTATACACAGTGTACATTACATACACATGAAAACGCAGAAGCAGCAGCAGAGTGGAGCACATACCCCAGGACTGCTGACCACCACCGGAGTCTGGGCAGGGAACGGGGGGGGGGGGGGGGGGGGGGGGGGGGCACTTTGCATTTTACCAAGTCAGCCATGGCTACTGCTCTAGAAACCACACTTTAGCATCATCACATGCTTTGCTTGCCTTTCAATATCGAATTTAAGAGAATATTCCCCCCTAATCATTAAATTTGAACTCTGGCTTTCAGGCAGTTCTCTTTGTGTGAGTATTTTTTCAACATTTAAGAGTTCTGTTTATATAGACAAAATATTCATATGACTCAAACACTTAAATAATGTCGGCATGTCTGGAAAGCCAAGTTTTCAATTCTCTTGGGTCCCCCCCATATAGCTTTTATCTGTTTCCTATAAATATGTTCATCATTTCTCTTTGTAGATACAAGCAAATGCCAGTGGGCTGTAATATTTCTTTATATAAAGTACAGTGCACTATGTAGCCTGTCTTGCCCTGGCTCTCCATTAGTTACTTAGTTTATATGCTCTTGAGAGTGTTTGATGTTAGCACTTAGTAAGTGTGTAGTGTTCATTTACAAAAAACACTTTATTTTAAAGATTGTATTCATTTTTATTTTATGTGTATGTTTGCTTGTATGTATGTCTGTGTACCACATGCATGCAATGGCCTTAGAGGGCAGAAAGGGTGTTGGATTCCCCGAGATAGGAGTTACAGTTGGTTGTGAGCCACCATGTGGGTGCTGGGAATCAAACCTGGGTCCTCTGCAGGAGCAGCCAGTGCTCTAACTTCAGAGCCACTGGTGTCATCAGCCCCAGAAAACATCTTTAAATAGCTCTAGGCATCTGTTCTGTCCTGGGTCTGCTTAGCTAGCTCCACTTGGAAACATTCATTTTGTCTTCAGTGTTACAGACCTTCCTTGCCATGGTAATGTCCTCCCAGAAGTGGGGTTGCTGGGTTAGTGGGCTGTGTGTTTTAATTTTCATAAATACTTTGTTCATAAGTTGCACCATTTTGAACTTACACAGGTGTGCTTGTCCTAAGGTTTTGTGGAGGGTTGATTCCAAGACTCCTGTGTAGATGATGAAATCCAGGTTTGCTTGTGCCTTAATTTGAGATAGTGTTTACATGTAACACATAAACATACTCCACAGGCTGTGAAATAATCTGTGGATTACATGCTATGCTGGATAGTTTTATATCAACTTGACACAAACTAAAGTCATCTGAGAGGTGGGAACTGCAAATGAGAGAATGCCTTCACAAGATCTGGTTACAGGCAAGCCTACAGGGCATTATCTTGATTAGGGATTGATTTGAGAAGGCCCCATTGTGGGTGGGGCCACCCTTGGGCTGGTGGTCCTGGGTTCTATAAGAAAGCAGGCTAAACAAGCCATAGGGAGCAAGCCAGTAAGCAGCACCTCTCCATGGCCTCCACATCAGCTCCTGCCTCCATGTTCCTGTCCTGACTTCCTTCAGTGATGGACAGTGATGTGGCAGTGTGAGCCCAATAAACCCTCTCCTCCCCAGCTTGCTTTGGTTATGGTGTTTGATCACAGCAATAGCAACCCTAAAACACATACACAGCCCGATTCAGTGTGTGCCATGTCACTCTTTTTTTGGGACTGTGCACGTAGAAGTCAGAGGACAACCTTGGGTATCAGTCTTCACCTTCTACCTTGACTCTCCAGCCCCATTAAAGAAAAAAAAGGATATTCTTAAAAAACAATCTATTTATGTCTGTAGGTGTTTTGCCTGAATGTGTATCTGCGCTCAGGGTCAGGCAGTGTCTATGGAGGCCGGAAGATGTTGTGTCCCCTGGGACTGGAGTGATAGATAATTGTGAGCCACCATGCAGGTGCTGGGAATTGAAGCCAGATCTTCTGGAAGAGCAGCCAGTGCTCTAGCTCCACATGTTTTCTTTAAGGTTCTCATGGTTTCTGTCAGTCTTCCATAGAGCCTGAATTTGGATGTACTAAGAAGTGTCCTCATTTCTGTTTCTGTTAAGTCTGTGGGTTTACTTCTACACTTCAGTCTTTGGTCCAAGATTTAGTGTGGTGTTCTAGGGGCCCGCAGACTCAGTTCCATCTCTGCAAGTATCCACTGTACTCTGGTGCCTTTGCCCCAGAGCCTGCTGGGAGCTTAGTGCTGGCTGCTGTGTGTATGTGTTAGGCACATCTTTGCACTTTGTGTCCTACTTTTCTAGGGGAAATAAAAGAAGTAAAATTGCATTAAAGAAATAACTCAAAAGTCTGTTTAGCTTTTTCCAAGCCTGGATTGCCTCATCTGTAAAAGGAGGAAGGGGCAAACTTACGTTTAAGTATGCACAACCTCTGCCTTCTCTCATTGTTTCCTACTCTCATTGACATTTTTAAAAGAGAAAAGCCACAGGAATGTTAGAGTTCAAGTTAGAATTAAGATCTTAGTCTATGCAGGGTCATCACCGTTTTTGGTTTTTGGTTTTTTTGTTGTTGTTGTTGTTATTGTTTTTCCAATTATTTTACTGCTGTGGTGATATAGCCCAGGGTCTTTTTTGCTAGGAAAGCACTCTACCACAGTAAAAACGTCATATCCAGCAGCTTGTTCGGCTGGTGATTTATACCTCAGTAGGTTGGAAACTGAAGAGAGACCATGTTCCTCCTATGAAGAACACCTAGAACCCATGCAAATACCTGGTAGAGGCAAACCAGACAATGGTAGACAAATGAAGGAAGAATCGACTCTGGTCTTCCTTTTTGTCTTGCAAGTCAGGTAGCTCATCCCACCTGTTATACTCTTAGCACTTTGGAGACAGTCATAGGAACCAAACAGACATTAGAGAGATGTAATGAGAGGATGATTTCTCTTTACAAGGAGCTATAATAACAAAAGCATGAGTGTTTGTTCAACGTGTATGTTCAAGAGCCGCCGAGGAGTCGATGGCTGGGTCATCCAATGTGACCCTCGTGTCTATAGTTGGATGCTGTTGGTAGACACACAGAAAATGGGCCCAGAGGTGTGATGGCTGACTGAAGATACCCTGATTGGTGCAGGTGGTCTGAACACCATGCCCAGCTCTTAGCCAGAGGCAGAGTACCCGTTATCTGTGGGTCCCTGAAGGGTTTAGATGTTTTCCCTTCACGGTCAGGGTCCCCTTTTTGGTGACCTCAGTGCTCTGGCTTGTCTGTAATCACCTGCTGGCATGTGGTAGGTGGTCAAGAAAAAGTAATTTCTACTTCTTTTTTCAGGTTCATAATAAAGGTGCTAAGGAAGATAATGTAAGACAGGAAAATAAATATTTTTATTGAGGTAAGTCTTTTATGATTTTAAAACAATTTCCTTTTAAGACATAAATTCTTTTTTTTTTTTTTTTTTTTTTTTTTTTTTTTTTTTTTTTTTTTTTTTTTTTTTGGTTTTTTGAGACAGGGTTTCTCTGTGTAGCTTTGCGCCTTTCCTGGAACTCACTTGGTAGTCCAGGCTGGCCTCGAACTTACAGAGATCCGCCTGGCTCTGCCTCCCGAGTGCTGGGATTAAAGGCATGCGCCACCACCGCCCGGCTTAAGACATAAATTCTTAACAACTACCTTTCCTCTAATGTAATGGGTAGTTGTCTTACGAGTGTTTGAGGTTATGGAATCTAGAGGTGGTGAGGTGTGCAGAGGCTACATTTTACATTTGTGCCATCTTGGGGGGAGAGAGAGAAACACACACACACACACACACACACACACACACACACGCGCGCGCGCGCGCGCACGCATGCACGGAGGGAGAGTGCATGTGTAGAGGTCAGAGGACAACTTTGGGGAGTTGATTCTTTCCTTCCATTATGGGATCTGGATCAAACTTAGGTGCTTAGGCTTTTGGGGCAAGTTCTTCCCCAGCTGAGCCGTCTTGTCAACCCTAACAACTCCTTATAATAAATAGTGCACAGGTAGGCTGAGGTGGACTTGATAGGCAGTAGTAGGTCCTGAATGAAGGAGACTCTCCTGTACCTCCTCCTGTGTCTTACTGGGAATAATAGTATAATCCCCCTACATTTCCTTAAGATTCTGCAGTTCTTGGTTCTGGAATTCCTTTTCTGTGGTAGTATAGTTGTTTATATAGCCCTTTTGTTTTACTGGTGAGAATGCCTTGAAACCCCAGTTCTAAGTTACTTGTGGGAAGTGAGTAGTGAATGGAAATCTTTTTTTTTTTTTTTCGTTTTTCGAGACAGGGTTTCTCTGTGTAGCTTTCCGCCTTTCCTGGGACTCGCTTGGTAGCCCAGGCTGGCCTCGAACTCACAGAGATCCACCTGGCTCTGCCTCCCGAGTGCTGGGATTAAAGGCGTGCGCCACCACCGCCTGGCGTGAATGGAAATCTTAATTCAAACTCAGTTGCATTGGTGAAATGCACTGTAAGCTGATCTCAAGACTTTCTCACACGGTGATTGGTCCAAATTCGGTGTCTCTAGCAGCTTCCTCCCATTGCAGGCAGTTTTGAGTTTAAACTGGCAGACTCGGTGGTCACTGGATAAAGTTGGGCAGAGGGGGAGGTTGAGTCTGAGCATTCAGGGTGTGTGACTGTCAACTTTCTAGAAGAAACTGTCTTGCAGTGATGGAGGTAAGATGTAGTTGGAAGATTTCCTGTGTCCCGGCCTGCTGGTGATCAGGACAAATCTCTCCCACTTGCGTCCCCCAAGTAAACACACAGAGACTTATTAATTATAACTACATGGCCATGGCTCAAGCCTTTTGCTAGCTAGCTCTTATATCTTAAATTAGCCCATAGCTATTAATCTATGTGTCACCACGTGTTCCGTGGCTTTATCTGTGTCTCATTACCTGTTGCTCCTTGGGCAGCTTGCTAGCATCTCTCCCTGCCTTCTTCCTGTCTCTCTCTTTGAATTTCCTGCCTGCCTCTAAGCTGCCTTGCCATAGGCCAGATAGCTTTATTTATTAACCAATCAGAGCAACACATATTTGCAGTGTACAGAAAGACATTCCCCCATCAGTAAGACTGAGCTTGTAGGAAGGAGTCAAACTGAGCTGTGTAGTGGAAACAGGAGGTTCCCGGAATCAGTCTGATTTATTCTCTCCTTGTACTTTTAGGCTAAAGGTCGAACTTTGGATGTGGTCGGGGGCGAGGAAAGCAGTAGCCACAAGCTATTTACTAAGCTCCACATCCCTCAGCTCTGTGTCCCATACTCCCTGAAAAATTTGCTTCCTTGTCAGCCCTGAAAGCTGTGCCTTGTGTGTGGTGTGATGGAAATCTCTCTGGAGCTAGGCAGAAGAAAGCTGCCACTATTTAGCCTGGTTGCTGATTTGACATCTGAGTATACAGTGCGAACCAGCCTTCCCCTTTAGCATAGACACAGCTCCACACAAGCTCTTTTTCCTCCTGTGTCTTCAGAGAAGGGAAGGTGAAAGTTAAGTGTGTATGTTAAACCCAGTAAATTTCATCTTGATTGCCTTTCAATCGATTCTAATGTGACAGAATTTTTCAGTCTGAGCTTGTTCTAGCAGCCTTCAGTCAAATGAGAATTGCTGTCAGGGGAAAGGGTACCCTCCCACACCTCTCCCTGAGTGCTTGAAGCCATCCCACTTCCTCTTTCTTTTACCTTCAGAACTGACTGCTGACACTTGGGAATTATAATCAGATTGCATCAGTCTTATGGAAAGGTTACCAATTACTGTTCTGCACAATATGCACTTCAAATGTCTTGGTTCAGTGCTTTTAAATTCCTGCTAGGTGAATGAAGGCTTTGTGTCACACCCTGATTTAATACATTTGATGAGAGACTTTATTGATGGCTTCTTGTCTTCAGTTCTATGGCGGGGGCTGGATGGAGGAGGGAGATTACTTAGTATGAAGTCTTCGAGGGGTCTTTTGGCGGTTGTTCCATGAAGCTGGATTCTGGAAGAAGCGTGGCTGGTTCAGTGATTGGGACTGAGGATAAGCCCTGTCTGGGGTGTCACATGGAGCTGTGAGCAGGAAGAAGTTTTCTTGTGGTGCATTCTTGAGTACTGTGCCCTGCTTTCCTGACCTCATTTTGTTCATTGAGTATCTGATAGAAGGGCACAGTAAGATTGTGGAATATGTCCTTGTAGGTTTTAAAATGCATGTCTCAGATCCTTTCTTTGGTCCCAGATCCATCTGTCTGTGTGTCTGTGCATGTCCACAGAGGATGTGGGTATTGTGTTAGGGATGGTGTTGTAGACTGCAGTTTTGAACAGAGTGACAGTCAAGCTGTGTCGCCCTCCCAGTGCTGTTTTCTCTTGATTTCCTGCATCTTTAGCCATTGCCTGACAAGTCTCTTGGCTGGCCAGGGTGTCTGGCTATGTTCAATACATCATAGTCTTGTTTAATTTAGCAGCGCTCTGAGGTGAAAGGCTCCTGACAGCCAAGTACAAACAGACCTTCTGCGGATGTTGATGAAGTCAGAGGAGAGAATGCTCATTTCCCTCATTCTGTGCCAGTCAAGAGGCTGGCAGATTTTCTCCTCGTGTGGCAGAGGGCTTGGACTTGTTGAGGTTGCTGTGAGCAGCAGGAGTGAGCTGTGTGTTGGAGAACCCTTTTCCTTGTGCAGTCTTACGTTGGTTCCCTCCTATACCTGCTGGCTGATTGCGTTGTATGCTCTTTTGTTCTTGGCTCCGTTTACTTTGGATTTCATTTTGTGGTTGGTCACAATGGGGATTTATTGGTAGAAAATCAATCCTTTCTTCATTTGAACAGACTCTATGTTCTTAAGACAGATTATCCTGTTGCAGGCAGATTCAAGCAGGCCCCTGAGTGGGGGCACTATTCTATGCCTCTGTGCCATTATTTCTTAAAGTAATAGTTTTACTCATACTTAGCTCATATACTGCGAGGTTCATGAAGGGGTCTTTAGTGTGTTCACAGAGTTCTACCCTAGTCACTACTGTCTAAGTCCAGCATACTGTGAGCACTACATGAAGAAATGCCAGCCCTCAGTCACTTCCCACTCACCATCCCGTTCTTGGTGGCACTAATTGTTGTTGTCATAGATTTGGCTGTTCTGGATGTGTCATGGAAGTGTAGTCATTCAGTATGTAGCCCTTTTAGTTAGGGTGTCAGTTACTGTGATAAAACACCATGCCCGTAAACAACTCGGCAAGGAAAGGATTCATTTTAGTTTTAAACTCTTAGGTCACACACCTTGACTCAGGGAAGTCAAGGCAGGTACTCAGGACAGGAACCTGGAGCTGATGGAAAGGGGTGCTGCTTATTGGCTTGCTCTTCATGGCTTACTCAGCCTGCTTTCTTATAAAACCCAGGACCACCAGCCCAATAGGTGACCCTGCCCACAGTGAACTGAGCCCTCCTCCATCAATCATTAACCAAGAAAATATATAGTAGGCTTGCCCACAGGCCAGTCTAGTGGGACATTTTCTCACTTGAAGTTCCTTCTTTTCAGATGACTCTGGCTTATGTGAAGTTGACATAAAACTGTCCAGCACAGCATGTTACTGAGGTTCATTTACATTGTAGCAGATATCAGAGCCTCATTTTTACTTCAGTGTATTCAGTTGTATGGATATATATTATTTTATTTATCAGTTGGTAGACATTTGGGTGCTTTCCTCTTCTTGGCTTTTACAAATAGTGCTTTTGTGAACTTCTTTTTTTGTTTTGTTTTGTTTTGGTAGTGGCTTTTAATTTGTGTGTTGGGGCGGGGAGTGGAGGTGCACAGAATGGGCTCAGACTCTAAGCTAGGTGGGGACAAGAATGTCATTATCTCCAGTGATTGTTTCTTCTGGTCCTTGCTGATGGGTGTGCTGTGCACAGTGAACCTGCCATCCATGGCATGTTTAAGCCATGTGCATAGGGCACCCCACTAACACTCTACTCTTTGACCAGTTGTAAGGTTCTGCATTAGCCACCATCCACTGCACAAAGAAACTTCTTTGATGAATCCTGAGAGCTGCACTAATGTGTGGGCAAGAGACGTGAATTCAGAGAGAGGTTTGCTGCTGTGTCCATTTAGCAGAATAAGAGTAGTAGGTTTAGTGAAGTGCCCAGCCACGAATGGAGCATCTGTATCATCTCCTCCTCACAGGGGCAAGGAGCATCACAGAAGAGAGGGCAGAAAAATTGTAAGAGCCAGAGGTTAGGGAGGCCCAGAGCAAAGCTGTCTTCCGGGTGTGACAGGACTCACAAGCTCACAGCACCTGGGGTTGCCTACACAAGAACAAGCCAGTCAGCATTTTAGCATTGAGTGGGGTTCACGATCCTGCCCTCCCAACTGAAGGGCTGTGGACAGTTGATGGTTTCTGGAGAGGAGAGAGTCAGGTTTTTTTAAGGGTGTG